TTCCTCTTATTGTCCTTTCAATATTTGCAGTATGTGGTTGTGAGCAGTAAGAAGATTCTGTTCTACAATGATGAGCAGGATAAGGAACAATCCAACCCCTCAATGGTACTAGATATCGAGTAAGTATTGTTCGTTCCTGTCTATCCACAGAGATCATGCTGCAGGGGTTGTTTGCAGATTAGTAGAGGTAATGGTGTTATTGATATGTAATTGCTTATTTTGTGCCTTCTTGTGTAGCAAATTGTTTCACGTAAGACCTGTCACACAAGGAGACGTGTACCGAGCTGAAACGGAAGAGATTCCAAGGATATTCCAGGTGGGTTGGCTTCTTCCTGTCCTTGACATTTCTCTAGATTTTTCTGTATTCACCCTGGACTTCTGATGTCAAAATGTCAAGTCAGATTCCGTGAAGCCTCAGACATGCTTATTTCTGTGGCGATTTTGTTTTGACGTGGCCCTCTCTCCGTCTGTATTCAGATCCTGTATGCCAACGAGGGAGAGTGCAGGAAGGAGGCGGACATGGAGACGGTCCCTCAGGGCGACAAGACCAACTGTCTCCCACACAAAGGCCACGAGTTCATCCCCACGCTGTATCACTTCCCTTCCAACTGTGAGGCCTGCTCCAAGCCTCTGTGGCACGTCTTCAAGCCGCCTCCGGCCCTGGAGTGTCGCCGCTGCCACGTCAAGTGCCACAAGGACCACCTCGACAAAAAGGAGGATGTTATTGCTCCTTGCAAAGGTAAAGTCCTGTCCATGGCTTTCGAGGCTGTTATGATAAACAAAAATAGCTTGTTTTCCCAAGAATATGAGCTATCACAGTAAATACTTTAAGGTAGTTTGCAGATGATGTTGTGGTCCTAACCTAGAAATGACTGAATAAGCATTGGTGATATTTACATTGACTTGAAGAGTTTGAGTTAAACGTGATATTAAATGGGTAAAAGGTTTTGTAACTTAAATGTTATCTGTGGAGTGTTAGGGGTGTAACGCTACACAAAAACAGTTCAGTTTGGTACAGTGGGGGAAAAAAAACAAATGCAAAAGGATACGTTTGCAAGTTCCAAAGACAGAAAAATCCTCTTGCTGAGGGCTGAGGTAGCATTTTGCCCACTGGCAATTTTGGTATACTATTTTCATTTCCTTCCCAAAAGGCAATGGGTCACAATGGGCTATAAAAATAACAAACATGCTTTGAAATTGAAAGTACAAACTACTAAACTTGTGCATGTAAGCGTTTGTTATTTCCACTGTGGCTATATATAAACATTTAAAGCACCCAAACATTTAGATATTGCACAGCGATGGAGCAACGGCAACACATCATATCTACAGCTATTTCTCCTTCGCTGTAGACTGGGAACCCAAATTGTCCCCAAACAACTGATTTAAAGGACGCCAGGTCTTCCAGCTCAGGCGTTCCATTTACTCTTGCCAAAGTGCGACTGACTCGCATCCCAGTAGGCTTGTTGTGCTAACCTCAGGACACGTTTCTAACAACATACAGCTACTTTGGTTCTGCATTACGTGCATCAGACTACATACCGTGTAGTCTGTATGTGGCTGCGCGCACCAGACCGTGGCCCCCGTACCGCGACGAACCGTTACAGCCCTGCGTTCAGTGTTACTCACCAAAACACATAGGGTGTATCCTTGTGGTCTGTGCATTTTGCTTCCTCATGAAACATTTGGTATTTTAAATCCTGTATTGTTTACATCTGTTTACCTCCTAGCAGCCTCCTTCTTCCCTGTCTTTGATGGCGTGATTGCTGTGTGTTAGCGCCACCTTTGATCAGTGCAATAGCGCCAAACCATAGGCAACCTTGAGATCAGGATAGTTTTGAGGTCTTATTTATCAGAATGAAATAATTGGTCTGCAAACAACTTGTGCTATCCCCTACAGTAAACTACGATGTGACCTCTGCCCGGGACATGCTCCTGCTGGCCCTGACCCAAGATGAGCAGAAGAAATGGATTGGCCACCTTGGAAAGAAGATCCCTAAGACCCCGCCATCCACGTTTTCAAGAGCCTCACCTCGTTCCATGTCCACTCGCTCTGGACCAAACCAGTCCTTCCGCAAGAACCCTAAAAGCAATACAGGAAAGCTGAGGTAACTTTTTCAAATTTGTGACTGATGTCTTGGCTTCTTGGATGTATTCTTAATTAGATAATTGACATACAGTAAGGCATTGTAATGTTGTTTTATGTAGTTAGTGAGGGTGGACTGGAGTCCATTTTATTATTATTTATTTTTATTCCATCTGGTGGGCTCACATGTGGTCAAGTCAGTTGCGTGACCTGCTGTTTGTCTCCTGTGTTGTAGCAGAGCGCAGTCCAGCCTCCAAGCAGCAGATACAACATCCAGCACTTGTTGACAGGAACTCCTTCAGAAAGTGTTGATGTTTTTTTTATTTTAGACTTTTCCTCTACAGCTTTAAACTTGTCTATTTATTAATTGTGTTACTGGGTGTTTCTAACACGAGACACTTCCTGGTTGGTTGGTTGGTTGGTTGTTTGACTCCTGGGATCTTTCCAGTTGACACTTGGGATTTTTCTAATTGGCACTAATGTGTTGTTGGGTTCAGCAACTAACTTATAGACTTACTATACAACTCTCGTTAAAGGGTTTTACACTACCTGTCAACCATGATGCAAAGGTGTTAATGGTGTTGCAGTGTCTGTAAACCAGCTGCTTGTCTTAGATTGGGTTACTAACCAAGGTAAATATATTGTGTCTTTTCTTTTACTGGACACCTGTCTCTGTTCTTTCTTTCAGCTAACCATCTGAACCATTTGGACTCTAAACTTTTCCTCCTCCCTCCTTCCTCATCCTCAAAAACGGAGAAAACTGTATTACATAGAAAATTCATTAAAAAGAAAAAATATATCAATAAGCGCTGGAAGATTGCAACACATGTGAGACACAAGGCATCATGGACATTAAGACGCCTGATACCCCCATCTGCCACCTCTCAGCATTCAAGAGGAAACCATCATCCAACTCAACAAACTAGCAGCTCTCCATTTCTACCAGAAGATGGCGCACTCGTCTTTAACTAAAGATGGACAGTGGCGCGATAGAGGGACTCATGTCATGGAGACATTCTGTGTTTCAAATTATATGACAATTGTGATGGAAATGGGAAGGTAAAAGGGGGTTTTGCTGGGACTACTGCAAGTATGTGTTCAGTTAAAGGTACTGTCATACAGGGATTGCAGATGTGCAGTGAGTGGTTGTGTCTCAGGGGTGGAAAATTAATATCCATTTTGTAATTTCTTTCCCCACCTGACATACTCAAGCTAAATGCAAGCATACTTCTGTTTCCAGCTTAAAAAAAAAAAAAAGACTGATGCCTTCATCTAATATCGCTGGCCTTTTTGCCTTTATTCTTATCACTCTACAAGTCACTTATCAGGTTTGGGACAGAGTATTGGGACATGAGTATTAGACGTGTTGAGTATTGAGTGAGGAGCATGCAAGATCATCATTTAAATCTATGCATTATTTTTATTATTATAATTATTTTTATTACTCCAAGCCATAAGGAAGATTCCATTGTAATGGCATATAGGAGTCCTAAAACTTAATTGACTTTTTTTTTTTTGTTTATTTGGTACATTGTCTCTGTAATATTTTTTTTTTCTTGTATTGTTTATTTTTTTTGTAATGTATTGCCTTACATTGATTCATAGATAAATGGTTCAAAAGGAAAACATTAAGTTAACAAATGTAAAACTGCACTGTTTGAATTGTAAATTATTTGTAGAAGACTAAACAGGTGTAGCATTTGGCCCACCTAGTGCCTTAACGTTTGGATATTGATTTTACTGCCATATCTGTTTGTTTTTCTTTTCTCCAAAACAAGACAAATCTTAACTCTTCCATCATTTATTTTTTAAGAAAGCGCCACGCATTTGTGGTTTTATCGGAACTTCTTTTTCTCTGGTTTGAGTATATAAAATATATATATTAGATTACCTCTTTATGGACACATTGCAATAGAGTTAGCGTGTCAAAACAAAGTCCCCAGACTCGGTTCATATCATAATGACAAATTTCGGGATGCGAAAGCGAGCCTACCTGATTGTCCTTGTTAACAATTACAAGTTGTTTCTCTTAACACGGTAATGTCCCGTTAATGCAAACCCCCCACAGTGTATATAATGAGAGAGAGACATAAGGATTATGGAATACCTCCGCAATCTTTTTATTTGTAACTTTTTGTTCAGTTAAAAAAAGCACTGGAACTATGATCTACTCTTGTCTTGGATAATTTGCATGGTTAATTGCATTGGAGTCCGCACTGATGGATATGTCAATAAACATATCTGTATCATTCATCGTTTACTAGTTTTCACTGCAGACACACATCACAGGTTTCATGTTTGTTCATGTTTATCAGGCTGTACATGAATCCATCAAGACTGGATCACCCAAAAGCTCCTGTGTGCCAACTGATTTATGATCATTTAATTGAGAATATGTGGAAGTACAGTATCTGCTGACTTGTTAAGGGCCCTAAAATGAGTCCTCTTTTATTTTATAGTCTTAAAACCATTGACCGTATATGTTTGAAACCCTGTCTAAAGAGGTTCCATGTGCCACAATCTAGGTTTAACACCTCCATTATTTAGTTTTATTATATTCCAAACAAATTTGTGTTTAATCAAAGGATCGCACAGTTAATGTTGTGCCAGGTAGTATTTCAGTGAAAAACAACTGTACCCACTACACACAGAATGGGTGGAGCAGGTGGTTTAATGGGGGCAGCTCATTTTTGCCCTTAGTCCTCCAGTAGGGTTAATCCATCAATGTTATATCAGCAGCATGGAAAATTATCACCTGAGTGTTGTGGACCGAGCAAAAAAAAAAACCCAGCAACAACAACCCCGACTCATAAATACTATAATTAATGTGGGAGAATGATCCGGGCAAAGACAATCTGGGTGTGTGTGTAGTCTGGGTGCATTGCATGCGTCAGGGCGACTAGCAGATGTCAGAGAGCATCGATAAGTTCCCAGCGTGTTGTTGCAGCGTCATTCTGTTTGAATGAAGTTCAGACTGAGAACTAGCCAACTCTTCATTCGCGCACCGGTGGATCGAAACAGGGAAAAAAAGAGAGTTCGGGAAGTAAACGGTTGCCAAACATGCCGGTGTTTACAGGTACGGCGCTCTTCTAACACGACATGCTACTTGCCGCTGGAAAAAGAGTGCAAAACGAGAAGCTTTACACGTGTTTTTGTGCAGCAACGTAAATCACATTTAGCCTGCTAGCTTAGTTAGCTTTAGCGTGACATCCAGTTAGCATGCTAACGGTAGTTGGTAGTCTGTCAGCCTCGTTAGGCCACTGGTGGAGTTATTACAAAACAATCTGTGTGTCTGGACAGACCGCAGAGACGTGTTGCACTGCTGCAGGTGTGTTACCGTGGCTGTTTTCCGCACAATGTGTCTGGTGAAGCCGGCTGTGCTAACTGCATGACAAACCTGAAAGCAGCGACCAGCGCTAAGTGTCAGCTAACAGTGTTAGCGAAGTAACAGTTCACGTGAATTTGTAATTTACAGCCATTGTATGTCAGCACATCTCAGCCATTTTAGTTATATCTTGTCAGTTTAAAAAAAATGCAACTACGTGTCTAATTTCACACGAATATGAAATTAACAGAATCACGCCTTTTTTTTTTTTTTTTTTAGCACAGGTAGCCTTGCTTAGCCAAGTTAGCCAGTACGTGAGTTTACACTTTATAAGCTTTTCACTGCAGTTGCGGCTTTTTGGAGACCAATAAGGCTCAAAGAACACGAGTTTGTCGTTTTAACACGACAGTAATCGTTTACGGGCTTTTAAAACGTCTAATCAGCAGTTTTATCTCCTCACATTGACAGCCAAACATCTGCATATCAGCTTTCACTTTGTGTTTTTAGCTCGACAGCCACTTGGACTGTTAGCTGTCTGAGTGCATGGGGTATTTTATTGCCGCTAACTAGATGCTGTGTCATACATGGCAGTGTTAAAAGTTACGGTGCCTGCAAACACTCGTTTCTGGGAAGCTAACGTGTGTGGGTGTGTGTTTTTATCCCTCTGTTTCTTTCAGTAAATGTGAAATGGGGCAAAGAGAAGTTTGATGCAGTAGAGCTGAACACCGAGGAACCACCCATGGTGTTCAAGGCTCAGCTCTTTGCCCTGACAGGAGTTCAGCCTGACAGACAGAAGGTCATGGTGAAGGGAGGTACTCTGAAGGTAGGCATAGGAACAACGCTCTGGCATCTGATTTTGAGGTGCAGGTTTTCTTTTGTTAAAAAGATTCAGTATTCTATAATGTGTCCAATCCCGTGGTAATACCTCGAACAGCAATTCATTAATATTACTAATAAGCATGTCTAGCCAAAGCATAATACTGACAATTTAGACTAAAAATTAAAACGCACCAATGAGCCATTTGCTGTGACATATTTCTTTATCACACCGCACATACACTGTCCTGCTGATGTAACTATTTACTAGAGCACCAAATGTGTATTAATTCGCAGGTGAAAAGGGTCCCAACCTTTTAAATTTGACGTTTTTTCTTTAAGATTATGGCTCAGTAGGAACAAATGTGCGTAGGAGAGGCGTACTGACACATTGGTTTTTTTCTTTCTTTTAAAGGGATTTTGGGACAATAAAAATAAATAACTGCAGCCTTGTCCATTAATGTTTTTTAGGAAGCTAACAAATGTCTTGTCGTTTATTCTAGGATGACGAGTGGGGAAACATTAAACTGAAAAATGTGAGTATTTTTCAAATGAGTTTGGAAATAACAAGCATGTCTCAGTCCACAGAGCCATACTCCCAAATACATTTGAACAAAGTGAATTTTGGTGTTTTTCTATTCTCTCTGCAGGGAATGACTCTGCTGATGATGGGCTCAGCAGATGCCCTTCCTGAGGAGCCTGCTGTCCGGCCCATGTTTGTAGAGGACATGACTGAGGAGCAGCTGGCCTCAGCGGTGAGTAAGCTTGAAAATTACCAGTACGCCTAAAACAAATATGGTGATTGCTGTTATCCGCACTGACATGGCCAATTAAAGAGGTTTTCCTCAATGTGATGTTTACCAAGTAGAGGACATAATAAACTAAATATACTGCATATGCCCCTTTTTGGGAGATCACCTTCTGAAAATGAGAAACTTTGTTTAATTTTATTTTTTCGACTCATCCCAAACATAACTTATCCCACTCTTGTCGATTTTAGATGGAGCTGCCTTGTGGACTGACAAACTTGGGCAATACCTGTTACATGAATGCCACAGTGCAGTGTCTGCGCTCTGTGCCAGAGCTCAAAACTGCACTCAGAAGGTACGTTTTCTGCTATTCTGCTCAGAATATGTAACACACTAAATATAAAGGGGCATTGTGTTTAAGTGAGATTTTTGCCGTTCAATGTTTTCCCTTTCCCTGGTTTTGGCTGTTGATTGTGTGGCTTTGCTGAAATCATCTCTCTCTCTCTAGGTATACAGGTGCTCTGAGATCTTCAGGAGCAAATGCACCATCACAATACATCACAGCAGGTATGAGGCATCACGAATAACAAACTTTGTGAAATCACAGGCATATATTAATGTCTTAAACTTACTAATGCATGTAAAATGAATATGTACTTATCTCTGCATTCTCAGCCCTTCGTGACTTGTATGAGACCATGGACAAGACCTCATCTAGCCTCCCACCCATTATTTTGCTGCAGTTCCTTCACATGGCCTTTCCACAGTTTGCTGAGAAGGGTGACCAGGGACAGTACCTCCAGCAGGTGAGAAACTCTTCACCAATGTTAAGCTATTACTGGAATGGATGCAGCCATGCCATATGTCTTACAGTAGCTTACAGAAGGGTGACAAATTACAGGAAAAATCAGAATGAAAGAGTGGAGCCACGTGGCAGATGCTTTCATATAGGACACAAGGAGTCATTGAGTGGTCTGATGAGAATTAAAATGATGTGAATCAATTGAACACCAATCATCATCATCATAAACATTTAATGAAAATATAAAGACATGGTCGAACCTGTTGTGATTGTTTTCCTCTCAGGATGCCAACGAGTGCTGGCTGCAGATGATGAGAGTGCTTCAGCAAAAGTTGGAGCCACTGGAGGCAGAGACTCCCATGGAGGTAAAACCTAATGGGTTTTTTTGTGTTTGTTTTACCATGTGTTGTTTTTATGTTGAAATTATTTGCGTTCAAATAACATGTTCCATTTTTGCTCTTTGTCTTTGAATCTATAGACTGACACTGAGGGCGGAGCTGCCTCCACGAAGAAAAACTTCATCGACCAGTATTTTGGCGTAGAATTCGAAACTACGTATCCTTCTTTGTTGATCGCATCTTTGCACGTTTTATGTCTTGGTTCAGTATGGTTAGGCTCTAAAAGCTCGGGTCATAAACTGCTGTTCGTAGTGTCATAGTTGCAAAGGTTTCCCAGCTGTGTGACATTGCTCAGTTTTTCCTTAACCCTCCTGTTCAGTATGAAATGCACAGAGTCTGAGAAAGAGGAGCCAATCAAGGGCAAGGAAAGCCAGCTCCAGCTCAGCTGCTTCATCAACCAAGAAGTCAAATACCTTGCAACAGGACTGAGGCTGGTATGTATCAGACTCCAAAAAAGGCAACTGAATATTTTTTTAATGTATTAAAACAGAAGTGTGCGTTTTCTTTGTGGGACAAGTTGCTACTTGAGAAGCCTTCACTTCACTAGAAACTTGGTTAGTTTGGATATTTAAAACTGTACTTGGATGTTTTATGTTTGTTCAGGTTTAATTGGAGTTATACATGTCAATCTGGCACATGGTTAGTTTTTCTCCAATGTATTCCAAGTTGTCTCTGCTTGTTTTATCTCTCCAGAGACTGCAGGAAGAAATCACAAAAATGTCTACAACCTTGGAAAGAAACGCCCTGTATATAAAATCCGTAAGTTTTTTTTCTTTCCCTGCAATTTAACAGAAGTTCTTATCTAATGCTATATTTGCAAAGTTGAGTTTGTATTTAATTTCTGAAACCATCCTCTTCACCCTCTAGTCAAAACTCAGCCGTCTCCCTGCCTACATGACTGTTCAGATGGTCAGATTTTTCTACAAAGAGAAGGAGTCTGTCAATGCTAAAGTCCTTAAGGTTCGTCTTCAGCTACATTAATCTTTAATTTACTAAAAGGCTTTCTATAGTCTAAGAGTCTAAAATGTCTTTTTTTTTTTTTTTTTTGAAGGATGTCAAGTTCCCGCTCATGCTTGATGTCTATGAGCTGTGCACCGCGGAGCTCCAGGAGAAAATGCTGCCAATCAGGTCAAAGTTTAAGGAGGTTGAGGACAAGAAGCTAGAGAAACAGCAGCAAAAGGTAAGGCCGATAACTCTCATTTTTATTGTCTTCCTACCTTTTCATTTTTAATTTCGTAGCAGATAAGCTCCCACTGTTCCCGTACAGTGTCTCACAGTGTCTCTGCTTGTTTTTTTTGCATTAGTTGGTGAAGAAGCCAGACACTGCAAAAGTGAAATATGAGCCGTTCTCATTTTCTGATGGTAGGTTGGGACGTGACACCGGCACCCACTGTACACTTCTTAAAGGGGGAATAAACTCGAGGGGAATCTTACTGGGTGGCAGGCATTAAATTACTAACCATATAGAAAAAGCCAATCTTCTC